GGTGAGCATAAGCAGCATGGTGCCCGCCCCCACTCAGGCTCCTCCCAGGCCGCCTGCCACTTGGCACACGGCTACAGCCCCCGAGGGTCCCGGATTGCGAGAGGGCGCAGGCCAGGCTGAGGGAATCTGAATTATTTTGTTGTTGCCAGGAAGCAGTTTGAAAAATCTTTTGTTAATAGTTACAATTCTATTTATTAAGATATGAGCAACGTCAATTTCTCTTTACTGGATTTGCTCATGTGGTTTTCTTGCAGTGGTTCTCAACCTTCCTAATGCCGCAACCCTTTAATGCAGTTCCTCATGTTGTGGTGACCCCCAACCATAAAATTATTTTCGTTGCTACTTCGTAACTGTAATTTTGCTACTGTTATGAATCGTAATGTAAATATCTGATATGCAGGATGTATTTTCATTGTTCGAGACCCACAGGTTGAGAACCACTGCTTTATGGGAAGTAAAAAACAAAGCTGTCGGGTCCTAAGTAATAAACCACGTCCGTGAAGCGGACTCCCGGAGGAACCTGAAGTCAGCCCCTGTCACCGTCAGCACCGCTCACTTCACCTGTAAACATGGTGGGTTTTAAAAAAAACCTGAGTGACCATCATGAGGCGGGAATTTGGTCACCGATCTCAGTGCGTTTGAGCAGGACCCCCTGCCCTGCCCGCGGGAAGGACTGCGCCCGGTGGGCGTGGGCGGCACTGTTCCGGAGACGGGCCCACAGCACCCTCTCTGCGTCCACCTCCCAGGGGGCAGTGGGCCCTTCAGGGCGGATATTCACGTAGAAGGAACTCTGACAGTGAAACGTTATGTGAGCAACAACCGAAACACTTTGCCCTTCAGGTCAATTCGGCATTGCTTGTTGTTCACGTTCTTTTCGGTGATTTGCAGCACAGGCTGCTTGGCAACAGGAAATGGTACCATTACTTGTTTATAATTGACAGTATTCCAGGAAGTAAAATATGAACCTCAAGTGCAGACATTTTCTCTTTAATTCTCAGGACACCCGCAGAAAGCAGCTATCATTGCACATGGTCACACATAAAGTGAGGAAACAACACCCGCCAGTGAGCCTGGGTGATGAAATGGCAGAGGGACCGTCCCTGCGTTTTCAAACACGAACTGACATACGTGAGCGTGTGATGTTCAAAAACACAGGTGTGGCTCTTGGCACTCAGCCAACACGAATTTCTCACTGCCCTTCGGATCTTACCCAACCAGCTCAGCTGACCAGACCGTACAGCTCTCAGACCCACGGCCCCACCCTGGCCTGCCAGTTAGCTGAGCTCAGCTCAGGCTGCCGTGGACGGGAGGAAGCATTTGGGGTCTTTTCAGCTGTAGAGGTAGCGAGAAAAGAAGGTGTAAACCCGTGGGCAACGGTGCATAATTCCAACTCGTAGTAAATTCACCTCTGAGCTCAGGACAAGGGAAGGTTTTCATTTTACACATAATTTTTGAAGGTTTTTTAAATCCAAGATTGCGACAAGATCTAAACCAAAGAACTTACATACTTATATGCATTGCCCATGGACACAGAAAATAGTGTGGTGAAGGCCTGCGTGAGGGGGGTCAGGGCTGGGTGGAGGAGGGCAAAAGGAAGGGATGGGGGACATCTGTAATACTGCCAAAAATAAATATATACATATATTAAAAAATAAGTCACTGCAATAGTATTATCAGAGCCACCTGGGGAGCAGCGGGAGGAGCCGGGGTTCCAGCATCGCTCTGCCAACCTAGTGCCCACTCAGCTCCAGCATCGCGGGGAGCTCCTCCCCAGGCGCCCGGGGAAGAGCGCTTACTGAACACATGGGGGCAGCGATGAGCAGGTGCGAACCCGCTCCCTGAACAGACATGGAGTTCTCATTCTGCGGAAAACTCACTTTTTCAGCTGGTGCCCCAATCCGAACCGCTCTTTGGTGGAAATCTGAAAGACATCGACAGTGGGCACTGAAAAGAGAAACATCAGTCACCACATGAAGGTGAAAGCCAACCAGCCAGGAAACTGGGAAGAAATAGATGTAACTCTGTGTGTGCGTGTACATGTCAGAAATGCTAGATACATACATGTGTATACATTACGTAATATGAATATTTAGAAATATTCTTCTACATTTAGAAATAGGGAACACAGTGCTATCCATCTCTTTGATGCTTTCTATACAGATACCTTGAACATCATTCTTGATCATTATGCTATATACTAAGGTATAATATGTGTATATATAAATGTATAATGCGTATAATAATGAAGAATGATCTTTAAAAAACATATTAATTGTAAATAGCAATGTGTAGGACAGTGAACACCATTCTTTCAGTGGAAAAGAGAGGCACATACACCTTTTTATTATATCCTCACCCAAGAATATGTTTTTATTAATTTTTAGAGAGGAAAGGAGATAGAGATAAACAGAGAGAGATCACTGTGAAAGAGAAACATCAGCTGGTTTCCTCCTGTAGGCACCCCTACCAGGAGTTGAACCCACACCGAGGCATGTGCCCTGACCAGGAACTGAACCGGCCACCTTTTTGGTATATGGATGATGCTCCAACCAACTGAGCCACCTGCCAGGGCTATACGTACCCCTTCTTCTGGAATAAAATAACGGAGCATGAGAGTAAGGCACAGGCGGCTTCTGTTCACTGCAGGCCCTGTCATGGGCTTCATGTTTTTACCAGATACACGCAATTCTGTGCGTTAATAACTGTGTGTATGAAATTAATAACCTCTCAGAAAAGTCACCCTCCACCCATCATTCAATGGTTTTAAAGAGTATTTCACAGATAAAACCCGGAAAGTGTTTTCATATTTTAAAAAAGGTGGAAGTCATTCAATTTTTCCTTGTCTCATAATTCTGGTTGGGAAGGGCTTCTTAAGATACGTGGAAATTATTCTAAAACCTTGATCGTGTAAACACAAGAGGCACCCAAAATAGAATGATTTGCACAGAAAAACATTTTCAAGTTAGTTGTTTACCTCTTTAAAGTAAAAGCTTCCCTGTCCTTAAGGTCAGAAACTAGACTTATAGTCCAGCAATTCTGGAAAAAACATACAGCATTATAGAAAGCATAACACTAGCGTCTTTTTAAAGTGCATTTCCCTGTGCACAATGAAAATAATCCTTATTTTTTATTTCAAGGAAGTGCACCTCTTCAGTTCTTGTCATTCCTGTTCACTCCCAGATATAGCATCAGAGGAGCTCACACGGGTATTACTCATACGTTCCCAGAGCCTGGGGACACACGCTTTTCAGAAGGAACTCTGAACTAGGTCAGCCTACACCTCGGATCAGCCCTACCTTTCCTGCCAGCTACTTTTACTCTAAATGCTGAAACCCTCGAAGACACAATACAAAACAGCCAAGCGACACGTCCTTACTTTTTTATTTTTCTGCAATGACCCAAGTCATAAAGTGAAATGAAACCTAATTGTTTTTCTGGAATGATAAGCTCTGTGTTCCTTTTCAGTATCATTGCCTCTTGCTGATGTCCTGTATTTCACGTTAACGCCCGTTTTAAATCATGCTGCCCCTCAGGGAGGATGCCTCTGGGGAAATGTGGTCCCAGGACAACGTAAGGCCACCGCCTGTACCCGCCTCGCCCTAACCATTAGGGAACCGGCACAGGAGCAGAAGCCTGGAGTAACTCCACCCCGTGTGAGATGCTTCCAGAATTTTCCAACAAATAGAACGAATGGAACCATGTAAAGGGGCCCTGACCCCAGACGCCTCATTCTCTGAAAGAGGAGGAAGCTAAGGCGGACCACTGCGAACACATCTCGGAAAAAGGGGCAGGTGGAGGGCGGAGCCATGTGCCCAGGGCAGTGCCCCGAAGGGCTGGGCTGGCAGGCTCCTCCCAAAGCAGATGCTGACCTCTTCCTTGCCCCGTGACCCCCATCTAGACCCTGAGCGGAGACTTGGGGGTAAGGAGTTCACTATGGCATTGCTCCTAGGAGAGAAACCATAGGGGGTGGGAGGAGGGGGAGGAAGGCAGGAAGAGGGTCAAGTCTCAGCTTGGGCCTGGCCTGAGGGTAACGCTGGAGCATAAACCACACCACGTTTTCCAGCCTGAGGCAAGGACACTGGGCCCAGGCATACAACATCCATCACACCAAGGGCGGGCACAGGTGGGACCCAGGGGGAGACACAGCGGTTCTGTGTCTGACGGGGAAGCCCAGGGGAGCGGTCAGCCGTGAAGCCTGAAGACGCCAGGGAGCAGGGGGGGGGGGTGCGGCATCAACAGAGAGAGTCACAGCCCCCTCCACTGTCAGAGCTCCTGTACCCACAGGACAGGGAGTGTGGATTCTCTCTTCCGTCTTCTTAATGGAAGAAATTAGGCCCAAATCACACTAATTTCCGAAAGAAGTGCATTTCAACACCTGCTTCAACACTGAGCGAAGCAAAACCCCATCTCCGGGAATAAAATAATCCATCTTGGAGGATTCGAGATTTATGCTCCCAACAACATTCAGAATAACGTTGCATAAATAAAATGGATGCGATTAATGGGAAAGAGGAAGCAGGATCGGGAAGGATGGGAGTCAAATTAAAAACAGAGGGGACATTCAATCAAAGGCTGAATCATGAAAACATTCGCTGAGTGAAATAAAGTTATAAATTCTCGGGGTGAAGGATGAAGGGCTAAGACAGATGACAAAAGATGGAAGACAGAGGCGTCAGACCCGTCTAAGCTCATCGGGGCGAGCAGATAGCAGAGGAACAGCCAAGAACTTCATCAAAGTTGTTCAGGTGATTTAAGTCTATCAATTGGAAAACCGTATGAAGAGAAAAAATAGCCCAGTAAATACATATAACAAACACAAACAAAACCAAAAGAGTTTTCTTACAAAGAAACAAAATTCAAACACTTTCAGATAGAAACTAGCGTCATTTTTTCTCGGGCCTTTTTGCTTTTGGGGGGAACTATTGGGACCCCATCAGGTTATACTGGTCAAGCTGGTCTTGTTCACAAGACAAGGGGTCGTTCTCAGGTGTGAAAAGACAAAGCATAACCCTCATGTTCCTTTGGTTTACAAACGATTAAATATGTAAATCAACTAACAGAGATGAAAAAATTAAATGATGGCGGAGTTCAAACACTAAGTAAGTGACACTGAAGGTAAAACCACCTAAACATGAACTGACATACAATCGTTACAATATTTATAAAACCAGGCAATCATGACAAGTCTTTAAAGAGATAATGTGATGGGAAATCCCTGCCTAGAATCGAAGATTATATTTAAAAATGAGCATCGGCGGTAAGACTACATAAAGGCATGCCCGTTCTCCTCTCAGCGTGGAGTTGGGGGGACAGGTGAACTGACCCGGTTTTGTTCCTAACCTGGTAACTCAGAACCAAACACGCTCTGACCCCGGTAACTCAGAACCAAACACGCTCTGACCCCGATAACTCAGAACCGAACACGCTCTGACCCCAGTAACTCAGAACCAAACACGCTCTGACCCGGTAACTCAGAACCAAACACGCTCTGACCCCGGTAACTCAGAACCAAACACGCTCTGACCCCGGTAACTCAGAACCAAACACGCTCTGACCCCAGTAACTCAGAACCAAACACGCTCTGACCCGGTAACTCAGAACCAAACACGCTCTGACCCCGGTAACTCAGAACCAAACACGCTCTGACCCGGTAACTCAGAACCAAACACGCTCTGACCCCGGTAACTCAGAACCAAACACGCTCTGACCCCGATAACTCAGAACCAAACACGCTCTGACCCCGGTAACTCAGAATCAAACACTCTGACCCGGTAACTCAGAACCAAACACGCTCTGAACCCGATAACTCAGAACCAAACACGCTCTGACCCCCAGTAACTCAGAACCAAACACGCTCTGACCCCGGTAACTCGGAACCAAACACGCTCTGACCCCGATAACTCAGAACCAAACACTCTGACCCCGGTAACTCGGAACCAAACACGCTCTGACCCCGATAACTCAGAACCAAACACGCTCTGACCCCGGTAACTCGGAACCAAACACGCTCTGACCCCGATAACTCAGAACCGAACACGCTCTGACCCCGATAACTCAGAACCAAACACGCTCTGACCCGGTAACTCAGAACCAAACACTCTGACCCGGTAACTCAGAACCAAACACGCTCTGACCCCGGTAACTCAGAACCAAACACTCTGACCCGGTAACTCAGAACCAAACACGCTCTGACCCCGATAACTCAGAACCAAACACTCTGACCCGGTAACTCAGAACCAAACACTCTGACCCGGTAACTCAGAACCAAACACGCTCTGACCCCGGTAACTCAGAACCAAACACGCTCTGACCCCGATAACTCAGAACCAAACACGCTCTGACCCCGATAACTCAGAAACAAACACGCTCTGACAAGGGCTTCTTTTCCTTTCACCACCATCGGAGTAAAACTAAGTGGCGCATTTCAATCGCTAAAGAAAGCAGAACGCAGCGACAGGCTGGAACACTGCGCAGATACCACAAATCACCCCGTTTTGGAAGGTTTAGTGACTAGAGGAGAGGCTGAGGACATGACGATGCGTAACTCAATGCCAATTTATGCAAGCCAACCAGGCAGGTACGGAAAACAAACTATTTACCGTTTTCTCAGCGTAGCGGGATTATGAGTAATCATTCTTCTTATTACCTTTATATATATTTGAAATAAACAAAATGAAAAAAACATCTATTTGTCTTTGCCTAACATTAAGTCACATAACTTACTCTGTGACTTGTATTGAGGATTGCTTATTTAAGTAGAACACGTCATACAAATATGGAAAAGAGGTGACCAGCCTGGCCGGTGTGGCTCGGTGATTGAACGGAGGCCTATGAACCAGGAGGTCACGGTTCGATTCCAGGTCAGGGCACATTGCCAGGTTGCAGACTCGATTTCCAAGTGGGGGGCGTGCGGAGGCAGCCGATCCATGATTCTCTCTCATCACTGATGTTTCTCTCTCTCTCCTTCTCCCTTCCTCTCTGAAATCAACAAAAAAAATTTTTTTTTTTAAAGGAAAGAGGTGACTATGGAAGCATTTTCAGAATGAGAGCTGCTCCTGTGTACTTCGTAAGCTGGGAAGGATGGCTCTCTTTCTTATGTGAAAAGGAACAGTGGGTGTGAGGTCCTGGCCGTGCCTGAGGGACACGGTGCAGAGGCCACAGCGGGAGCCTGCATGGCAGGTGAGGGGTGGCAGCAGCCTGGCCAGCGGCCATCTCCGCCCTGGCCCTGGGTTCTGGGAGGGCTCTTCCTCTGATGAACAGAGAACAGAGGAAGATCCACCGGGCCTCGGGCCAGGTGTCTCTTGATCACTTGCGCTGGACCCGTTATCAGGCTACAGCAGTGGTTCTCAACCTTCTGGCCCTTTAAATACAGTTCCTCATGTTGTGACCCAACCATAAAATCATTTTCGTTGCTACTTCATAACTGTAATGTTGCTACTGTTATGTATCGTCATGTAAATATCTGATATGCAGGATGGTCTTAGGTGACCCCTGTGAAAGGGTCGTTCGACCGCCAAAGGGGTCGAGACCCACAGGTTGAGAACCGCTGGGCTACAGGAAGCCCAACCCCCATGAAGAATCACCTGCAAGGTAGACTCTCCAGTCAAGAGCCCCAGCTGAGCTCCGCAGGGACACCTGCGACAAATGCTACGGATCTGAAAGGCCAGCGTCCTGAGCATCCAGCCTAGTGGAGCCTTGAATGACACGGGCCTCACCCACCATCTGTCTGACTGCAAACCCTGGGCGACTCCAAGCGGGGGCTGCCCCGCTGAACCCTGAAGAATGGTGAGAGAGGAGCTGTTTTAAGCCACTGCGTTTTGGAGCGGTTTGTCAGGCAGCAGCAGAGAACCGGTGTGTGTCGGGGTGTGTGTGCAGGTGCGCCTAAGTTAGTAGGCGGGGGAAAAGGAATTTAATCCAGTAAGTCTCGCAAAGATTTATAGCAGGGTCCTTTGGCGTAAACAGCTGTCATTTGAGAAACAGCAAAGTCATCGGTTAAGGGACCACAGTACAAAAACTATTATGATGATCTCCATTTTCAAAACCAGAAATATGTTACACTGAGGCTGAGTTCATCAGGATTCAGAGGTGAGAGAAACATACATTAACATTAAATCTCAGGATCAGAGACAGAATTTGAGCTTCTACTATACGCAAAGTTCTCTTTTCGGTACTAATGTGCTTATTTCACAGACGCTTGTCAACTTCTGAAATCTATACAACTAAATGGTACGTGCTTCTCTTTCTAGTAGTCATATTGGCAGTAAACCATCTTTGTCAGGATGCAAGTGTACTTAAATGTCATTATCAAGATAGCTGCAATTACTCTCAGAATTACCAAATGCACAGTCATCTTGTTCAATGCACAACGCACAACTAAATACTCAAAATAAGAGAGAAATAAAGTCAACCTGGGCCATTTAAATACTGTGTAAGTGAGCAGTGTAGTCGGACAATTATAGGTTCTGTTCGAATCACTTCCCAGGCCACAGCAATCTCCTCCTGTGCAAATAAATATATTTTAAAGATGAATTAGTCATCTTGTAGAGCCTAGACGTATTTTCCCCATTAAAAAATATTTTTAACTTATTTTGAAGAAATGCATAAATCATTAAGGCTTACAAATTATCGTAAAACCAACGTACTTTTAATCTTTGCCTTTTCACATGAAAATAAAAATGAAAACTTAAGAAATACTGAAGTACTGTACTAAGACACTGTAAATTTCAGAGGATATTTAAAAACCAACACAAATATATCTGTTTCTTCAACCAGTCATAGTATTTTTTCATAAATTGCTCTGAAAAAGCCAATTTGTTACTAATAGCATTATAGCAAAAATTAGATTTCCTCCCATAAAAATAAGCATTTTTTAAAGGTAGCGGTCCCGTTGCATGAATGGATACTTACATCAAGAAAGCTGACATCGACATGCAGATCAATATCTACGTCGTCAATGGCTCCATACTCCCTGGAAGCAGAGATTAACGTCAATATTTTCAATTTCCTTAAAAGACGGGGTGTCCTAGGTTATTTTATATTAAAAAATTAATCATGAGCTCTTGTCCCTGATGTCCAGAGAGCTCGGACATGCCTGTGGACCTGAATTAACTGACTCCATGTGGTTGGACTGCCTCTCCTAGACCTACTGGATCCATCCAGACAACTTTCCACCTTTGGCCGCCGGAACGTGCGTGTGTCAATCCAAGAGCTGTTTGGTTCACAGGTTCGAACGCCCCTGTTCTCTGGAGCAAGTTAGTCTTCCCACCTGACTCGTCTCTCTCACTGTGCTCCCTAAGAGCGCAGAACTGCTTCTAGGGACTGAAAGGAGTTTCTGACAGGTGAGGGGGGGGGGGAGTTTACTGTCCCAGTAACGTGTCTAGGAATTTTCCTTCCGTGTTAGACACCAGTGGCTCTGAAACCGGTCGAGGTGTCTGCCATGTAACTGTCACTGTTCTCACAGGCAGCTCTGAAAGTCTGACACATCAACATTAAAACAAGTAACAACAGGTATGTGCCACACTAAGATGTTATGAAGACCAACTTTTTTCCAGTCCAGGGAGAGACACAAGCCAGCGTATTTTAAGTTAACAAAAGAGTATAAAAACAATGGTTTTTCTATTCCCCGTATATACTAATCTCTAGGTTTTATATTTTTATAAAATTTTGGTTACACATGCTACACCCACTGAGGGAACCAACTGTAGAGAGAGCAGAAATGACAGAAGTTAATGGTCAAGTCCCAGTGAGCGCTTTGTGCCAGAACTGCTCTCAGGACTTCACACGCACGTGATCACATGCACTCACTCCCAGATGCACTAACCGGGGCCCCAAGTGATGGAGCGGGCCAGCCCCCCTCACTCCAGACAGAGCTGGGACTTGAATACACGTGTCCTATTTACTTATGCAGGTGCTTCATCAGCTCAATATTCAATCACCTACCATTTGTGTTGGAAACCCGGTGGGACAGTAAGGGGGGATCCTATTAGGGCCTCACCATCGCCTTCCCACAGGCATCCCACTACTGTCCTCATTTGCAGATGAGAACGCTGAGGTGTAGGGAGGGACAAATTGCCGAAGGGCAGGTGAGAAGTCAGCGGAGACCTCAGATGCATCTCTGCCCAACCCATGGGCACAGACAGGGTGTGGTGAAGGCCCGGGAGGGGTGGGAGCGAGGTGGAGGGGTCAGTGGGGGGAAAGGGGGACACCTCCAATACTTTCAACAATAAACTTTTTTAAATGTCAGTGGGAAAGCCAGGTAGTGAGTTCATGCCCAACCTCAACACTGCTGAGCACGGTAGTTAAGTACGCGATGAAACGCCAGGGTATCACACGTCCATCCGAGTAATGCTAACAGAGTACAACACGGCGGCGCTTTCACGGGATTCGGAGAACGCATTTTTAACGACTAAATGGTTCATGTAATTCAATGAATGAAAGAATCCAGGCAGTTTTTTCACTTTTGAGGTCGAGGACAAATTGCAGCATTTTAAGTAGAATAGCTTAGCCTCCCCGCTTCCTACATGCGCCCCTGAAAAATATATGCAAACACTGAGCACATTTTCATGATTTGAAAAACTGAACTTTTCATTCTTTCCTAGTAATACTTTTAAAGGTTAAAAGGAAGGCTAAAAATTATTCACGCAGCCATTTTTTAAAACAGCATGGGTCACAACATCTGTGTTTTTCAGAGTAAGAACCTTTATAACCATATGCAAATTGAGATATAAAAATATGTCAATTTAGTTATGAAATTAGACGGAAACGAAGACAAGACTAAGGCGCAAGCGCCTGAACCATTTCTTTTGTGCCTCTTGTTCTGGATTCAGCAAACTTCCCTGGAAAAGCCAGATGGTAACTCTTCCAGGCTTTCAGGCCACACAGACTCGCTGCCACGCATTCTCCTTGCTGGCCATGTGGTTCCCCCCCACAACCCTTTAAAAAAGCGCCCACCATTTGAAGCTCAGGGGCTGTCAGGCAGGGCCGCAGCCAGTGGCCATGATGTTTTGACCCTGACCTCTGGCACGTTAATTGTAAACGTAAGAAGTGACTATGCACAGTGAGGCGTGAGAAAGAGAGCGCCCGGAGATGTGATGGGGGCACAGACTGCCGAGGCCTTTCCAAGACTCTCCGGGGGAGGGAGCCGGGACCACAGCCATCCCCACAATCACAGCAGGCGCCGACTCCCACCTAGAAAACGTACGTGACAGCAGAAATCCAGGGGGAGATGAATATTGAAGAATAAGGAAACACTTAAAGAACAGCGCACACTGACGCAGTTTTTTACAACTGCCCGTTACTAACGAAGTGCATATGAAAATATTTCATATCCTGCGGAAATGTTCAAATATACTACTTACGGAGCAAGTGGAGTGCCAAAAAGCATGGGAACTAAAATGCCTTTTAATAATAAAACACAAATAGGAAAACCAATAAAGTAAAAAGAGTACATATATATTAATTGTAAGTCATGGGTGAAATTTACTTTATAAATGTGTTATGTATTTTCTAAAAACGTGTGCTTTTTCTGATTACAAAGGTCATATAGGCTCCTATATCAGATGAGAAATAGAAAAACAAACAAAAAGGAACTTGTAACACCATCATTCAGAGATCTCCCTTCTGAGTCTGCCTCACTCCCGTATCTTCCATATACTCTATATCATATAACACATAGAATATATTAAGGGTAACATGCTATATCATATAACATAAAATATACTGAGGGTAACATGCTATATCATACAGCATATATATACAAATATTAAGGGTAATATAACATGGAAAGATTTTTGTCCTGCTCTTTCACTTCTTCTATGAGTGCTGTTTCTATATTGTGAAATATTTTTCTAAACCGCTCTGAATTTACATTTAAATGGCTCTATTTGTATAAATAAAATTGAATAATACAACATTAGGTTGCTTTCCATTCTTTTTTTACACTAAAAATATTGACAAATAGCTCCCTGGATAAAAATCTGCACGTTGTCTGTCTTCTCACAGAACGATTTCCAGAATTATTGAGCAAAACAAATGGTCTGACTATACTTGGGAGTATTGCGCTACGTATAGTGTTTAATTGCTGTTTTAAAGGGTCACCACACTTTATAATGAAATCAGCCAGGTTTTCACACGATCCCTTCCCCACAGCCCCATCATCGAAAGCATTTTCTCTTTTGGCCCATCTTTGCCAGCTGCGCAGGGAAGAATAAATTCTGCGTGGACTCATTGCTGGTGGCAGGCCTGGGATGCTGAGAGGCAGACAGGGTAAACCAGAAAGACAGACCAGGAAGGACCCGATCTACAGTCCTTCTCATCGTAGAGAGATGTCCAGACGCTGCCACAGAAGTTTATCCTGAAGAAATGAATCAGAAGGCGCACACGGCCTTTTAACAACCTCTCCCATGCGAACATTAAAGCATTCCTTATGTGATTTCTTAAAAGTCAGTATCCTCCCAATTCCTAACACTACCAAGTTCTTAAAAAAAAAGAAAAGAAAAGAAAAGAAAAGAACTAAAGGTTCCCAAGGCCCTCCATCCGCGCAGCAGAGCAGGCGGGGTGTTAAGGCGGGCGTTAGGGGTTCGCCATTAACTGGACGCTGCAGGTGCCGCCCTAGACTCCCCTTGGTTTCCAGGCCTCACCTCAGAGCATCACCAGGAAGGGCGCTGCGTGTGCAGCTCCCCGCGCTGCCCTGCTCTCCGATGCCAGCGATCCCCGTTCCCGGGTGACTGCGTGAGTTGCGGGCACAGCTGACCTGTGACACCAGGGGCCTGACTGTCCTGAAGACCGGCGTGGGCTCACGGGGACCCACAGCACCTCGTGCGCGCCTGCCTTTATCCCCGGGGGAGGTGACGGCAGGAGGACAGAACACGTGTGCAGACAAGAGGGACACAGGAGGACCCGCTGCGCCCTGTCGTCTGGAACTCAGGCCGAGAGGACCTGCCCGCGGGTCTGTGACCCGACACGCGTCCAGGCTGACCCCTGACGCCGGGTGTTCAGTGGCCTATTGATCCAAGAACAGGGTGAGCAGAGTAGGCTGATGGTTGTTCACATGGAAAATACGACAAGGACTAAATAGCAACACAGGAGTAAACCGTGTTCCACATGCTCACACTGTAAGCCTCCTCTGCCCACCGTGTATGTGGAACGTATTTTCCTATGAACGTGTATTTTTTAGGACAATGTGTGTTAGAATTCTTGCCCATTCATTCTCCTTTTACTGGAACTGAGGGGAGGGGGCAAGTCTCCGAGCAAAGCGCACTGTATATGGGGTGCGAGTCTGAAAGCTCGCGGGCAAATGATCAGGATCCCTTTCCTCAGGCCCATGGGAATCCCGAGGCTGGTAAGTCCTTCCTTCCTAAAGGTATTGATCACCTTGTTCTCAGACGGCACGAAGCGAGGTTTTTTTTTAATGAGTACATGCCTATGTGGTAAATTCACTGAAAAACATGAAACATCCTCATTCTGTAGCAGGGCTCCAGGTGAGGCCTGTGCAGGCGAGTCACGGGTTCATCACGTCCACACGGACCTTTGTCCCTCAGGAGCCGAGTCAGAGCTGTCACCCACTCACGAGGGTGGCTCCGCACAACCAGCGCTGCTAGGGACACGGCTGGGCGGGGCGGAGAGAACCGACTCTCACGGATGCATCCTCAGGCGCTTTTCCTGTCCCCCCTTCACCCTTTCCCGACAGGTCTGCCTCCATGGAGGCGAATGGCTCTTACAGAGAACTCAGAGGTGCTTAGCTGCCCCTCATTAGATGTCGCATTAAAAAAAAAAAAAAAAAAAAGACACCAAATAGCCTATTATGCATATTGAGGTACTTTTGCTCTTCAAACTCCATTAAGTTCTTATAAACCTCAATTAAGTGAAAGAACAGCTCATTAGAACAGCTTGTGTTCAATAGACTCGGAACCTCGCAAAGAAGATGGGCCCAGACCTGAGGCCTGACCCTCCCCTTCCCACGTGTCCAGCCCTCAGTGTCTGGGACCAGACGGTTACATCCCTTCTCATCTGAGCAAATCACACTCATCCTGCGGAGTCACCTGCACGTCATCAGGCCTCTGGGAGGCTGTTTATTCTGGAAACACCCTCTGGAGCTGGAGAGAATCTAGAGGAAATCTGGAGCAGGCGAGAACATGGCCTGCATTCATGGAGATTTGAATGGGATCAAAATGGATAAGTGACATAAGCAGGGGTGGGGGACAAGCACAACCATTTATGACTTCATTTAAATAAAGTCCCAAATACTTATCTAATTTCAACAGTTGATACAGTATCCATAATCTTATCAATAATGGGAAATACTGGGAGAGATTATCCTAGGTGTTTCATAAATGCTTGCTGAGAGAAAACACAAACAATGCCATGTATGTGTGACAGTATAACTGAGGTCTAGGCAGCATGGAAATAAGGTGTTTTTAGAAGTTCTGACCTATGAAAGCAGTCAACATAGGCCAAGGTCATCCTCCAACAAGACCACGTGTTCAAAGGAAGATGCCGAAGTCCGTCTTGTACGGTTAATCCTGTCCCACCGGCTTTTTCCTTTCAGTGGGGGAGGGGGTTACGTTACTGCAATCAGAGTTTTAAGCTTTCAAGCAAAGTCCAACTGAAGTTAAGAGGTTAGTCATTGTTTTGGACGACTTGCTGATCGTTCCCACTGCCTCCTTCGCTTACTCACTCTAAAACACTCACAGAACAGCCCTCCCCGGAGCCACGGGCAGGATCAGCAGTGAAACGATCGCAGCTCATTTGCTAAAACTTGGACAATTGTAAAGATCTGCTTTTCCCATATAGTCACTCTCGCTCCATTTCGGCTCGGGAGGCGGGAGGGAGGGGTCTGGGTGTACAGCCCCAGCTCCGCGGCTGCAGGGGGTCTGGGCTTCCGCCTCTGCAGTTCAGGCGAAGCCTTTGGAATTAGGGAGCAACTGCCGCTGCTGCACTTCCCCACGGAAAGTGCTCGTTCGATCTCAAAACCTGGCTGTGTCCAGGGAAGGGAATGGAACCAGGGCACAGAGGCGGCCACTGGGAACCGCCCAGCACCCACAGCCTGAGTTTCAGACAGGCCCACGCTACACCAAATGCCAGGATGCAAGCAGGACTGAAATCCAACCAAAATACAGCAGACACCAGAAGCGGGCATCGCTCCAGCACCCACAGAATTCAGTCTCGAGGGGAGGAGGTAAAGCGAAACCTTGCAGGCGTGAGAAGGACAGGGAGTGAGGGCCGAGCCCAGTGCAATGGGAGCGCCCAGGAGGCTCCAGGCAGAGCTGCGTGCTGGCAGGGGCCCGAGTGAACACTATAGTGGGGCTGAGGGGGAAAACGGCTGTGCAAATGGCCAGAGTCAAGTGGAAGAAGCCTGGCTGGACCGATTCGGGTTTGGGGGGGAAGGCCGGGGGGGCCTGGAGCCCACGGGCCTGGGAGACGAGCCTGTGGGCAAAGACCCGGAACCTGCCGCCGTCGAGCTGGCTCGTGGGAGGGCACCCCCAGGGTGTACAGGGGGTCTTCTTACATCAAGGAGGGAAAAGAGAGGCCAAGAAGGAGGGTGGGCTCTTCTGGATGATGAAAACGAGTAAAAACGGTCTAGAAATGTGTCACCAAAGAACATACTAGGTGACGCAGAATAAAATGCATGCCCTTCAGATAAACACTGTGCGTGTCTAGGAGGGTTTTTCCTTCCTGGTTCTGAGGGGCCAGGTCGCAGAGTCCGGTGCGACGTGGTTACCAGTGGGCAAGCGTTATTTCCTTGTATTGCAGTGGGCAAGCGTTATTTCCTTGTATTGTTCGCGTGGAAGTGTTACGGTAACAGCGTGGGCCCAGCTGGCCCAATCTATCATCAGAACTGATTGACACGACTTAAGACTGAGGTTTTACCAAAACTAGCTCTCCTAACTAACGAATTTGAATGCAGTCGATGGAATCTTAAACTACGTACAATAAACGCACAACCCATATAGGCACGAAGATGCCATCCTGTACACGCAGGAACATGCTAGAATCTCCCCAATATTTTCCAATATCATTGAGCCCAAGAAAACGTCCACTGAAATAACTCCCACAGAGGCCCCCATGCCTGACCGAACGGGTGTCACTTTCATTCCCCGCGGCGTCAGTTTACCTGAGAGAAACCGCGTGCGGCCCGTAGATCTCCCGGACCGCCGACAGGTCGGCCTCGAGCTGCGGGTGCTTGTGCAGCTCCCCGTCGTAGTTCACCTGCGGGGAGGGGGTCAGAGGGGCCAGGTGAGGACGTGTGTCAACAGAACCCACCCCCAGCCATCCACTCCTTGCGCAGCTCTGGAGGTGGCACTTCCTCTGGCACCTTCGCTTACACACACAGGTAATTCGGCTGTATATCCTCCCAAGTGCTTAGGCTCACATACAGTGGGGCCTTGACTTAGGAGTGTCCCGACTAACGAGTTTTTTGAGATACCAGCTGTCTCTCGGCCGATTTTTTGCATTGAGTTGATAGAGTAATTTGAGTTAATGAGCTCCTTAACGAGCTCTGTCTCAGAACGAATTAAACTCGTAAGTCAAGGCCCCACTGTACGTCTAGTGCAGTGGTCGGCAAACTCATTAGTCAACAGAGCCAAGTATCAACAGTACAACGATTGAAATTTCTTTTGAGAGCCAATCCATGCTTTGTTAGAGCTGTCATCATCTCAAAATACGGACCAAGCACCGTGTGCTTAAGAACCGTAAATCAAAAGCATAAGAAGTGCCGTGTGTAAAGTCACGACCATGAAGTAAGACAGTGTCAAAGTCCATGAACGATGACAGTCGGAGAACGGCAAGAGCCACCTTAGCTTCTGAAAAGCGTCGGACAGGAGAACGAGACGAGCCGTACGGGTGCCCTCGTCAGCCACAGGCTCTGAAGGCCACGCGGGGCTTCCGGAGCGCAGGCACAGACGTCCACGGGACACGGGCGGAATCGCTGCGTGGACAGCGGGTGCCGGGGACCCCGGGCGCCTACCTGTCCTCCATAATAGAACTCCTCAGAGTCGTTATCCCCTTCCGAGTCTTCTTCCACTGCACTATTTTGTCTCGACTCCTTAAAAGAACAGAGCAAGGAGACAATTTATTTCAGTGTCAGACGAGTTTGCCTCCTGAAAAGAAAGGAGCAAGCGGCCATAGCAGGTGGGTCTCTGCACGTCCCCCGGGTTTTACGGGAGAACATTCTTGGTGCGTCTGAGCCAAGAACACAACAGACAGGAGGAGACGGTGTGGGGAGTTCACTAAGCTCTATGCACATATTCCTCTAAAGTTCTACTTTGCTTATTCTGATGTGTACAACTTAATGTGTTGCGTCTATATAAGAAACTATATATAAGCAATTACTACTCTGAATTTGTGCTGATAAAACAGCTGACAAGCTCATGCTGATTCAATTTTTTAAGTTTTATTTTTCAATTGCAGTTTGCATTCGGTATTATTTTGTAGTGCTTTCATTTGCACTGATTCAATATTTTTATTAAAAAGGTTCTCAGCATTATTATCACAGGCGGTCCTCACTCCCACTGCCAACTCTACACAATGGTATGAAAGAAAAGACGCTCTGAATCCAATAATTAAAAAATCAAATTATGAAAATAAATATGAATCACATTATAAAAAAGACCTTTCAGAACACAGAAACTGCTTTCAATTTCAGATGCAAAAGGATATTTAATTAAATTTGCTTGAACTTGAAGGTTGAGTTTCTAATTAACTAAACCACATCTGTAATGTGTCTAAAGTACAAACAATGGAAATTCATCTGAATGAACTCATGGTTACCAACAGTTACTATCCCTATTCCCAGCTCCGTTAAAATAAGAAGAAGGAAGGTGGCTTCCTTCAGACATACGAGTCTATTAGCCCAATGTCTTATAATCATCCCTGAATCTCCAGCCCAAATTTCAAACTCTTTAGGAAAACAAAAACCTGGGAACGAGCACCTGGGTTTGATGGAATGCTCCAGCTTTTGGTGTTAGTCACCGTACTGCTAACGCAGTGGTGCGCAGGGTGGATAGGGATGAACAGGACGAACCCTACAACTTTAAAAGCGTTGTGTTGAGTGCATAGTTTTAAAAGCCAAGAACCGATGGCTCCATTGCACTGATTGTCTGTGTAATGCCCCAGTATTCACAGCTTCAGGTAACGTTTTCTAAGGGTGAGTCTGCTGTTCGCTGCTGTTAACACGGCGAGAATAACAGGAAGCCGTACCCACACTCTCTGCTACCTCAGCTGAAGGGTCACTTCCACCCGTGGAACCAGGTGTCGTTGTTAGAGGAGGGGGGAGTCCTCGTCTAGTCCGTCGCCGGTGGGAGTGGAAATCGTGCCATATCCCCAGAAAAAGAGTTTTTTGAGACTCAGACAGGAGAAGGAGTGGTTTCTATTTGCTTGGAATTAAATCCCTGAGGTTCCTAAGTCCCATTCCCCTCTGTCCCCCCGTAAACTAAGCTCATTTAGGCCATTCCCTTTCCCGCACAATGAGTCCCGAAGACCCGGGGTTTGAGCTTCCTTCACTATTTGCAACCTTAGCCTAAATAACAATGATGATGCTGACTACAAATACACAGCAAACTTAAAATAAATACAAAATATAATTTACATACCTCCCCATTTTCCTTCTGTAATTTGGATTTTATGGATAAGCAACAGTTAATGTCATTTGTTTTCCTTAATTCTGAAAGTTATAAATTAAAAAATCATTTTAGTTTTTAGTATACTATTAACACACATTCATAAGTTTCAGCATAAAAATACCTCTTAGGTGATTCCTTTGCAAGAAGATTCTGAAATTACATTATGTTGGGGAGTTACATAATAACAAGCTATTCTGATTTTTCATTGCTCATAAAAATATGGTCAAAGTAAAATGCCACTATACAGATGCTTTTAAAAATATGGTCAAACCGAAATGCCACTATACAGATGCTTTCAGCTCTCGATATATATATATATATATCATGTGATCTACAATGCCTCGAGTAGGCTGGTTAAATAAATATTCAGTTTGTCTAGCAGTGTCATTATGCATGAAAAGATTTAAAAAAAAAACAAATATCAACATAATACCGTTAAACAAAACTTTTTTAAAAGTACTATAAATGTATGCACTTAAACAACTGTCAAAAAACAAACTAAAGCCCTTGAGATAGAAAATTTGGATGGAGAACCAGATTTCTAAATGCTAAAGATTTACTATCTGTTACATGGGCTCAAGGAAACCAAAACACAAAGCTACCTAATAACCAAATAAATATTAACCTAAGACAAAAAACAGTGTATTCCTATTACCTGTTGCTATTCGGTGAAAAATTACTGGAATTGGCTCTGTAGTAACTAACACATCTTCATCATTTTCTGAACTTGACACGTAGGTATTATCTGCAAAGAAGTATAGACAATTAAAGGCATAGTAACTTGAAAAAGTACATCCTTTATAAAAGTATAAAGTTATATCCACATCACCTCTAACACTCATGAAGCACACACTGTTGTTCTAATAAGTCAGAAAATAATGAAGTAAATTGCCAATGAATGTGTAAACTCATTGTGAATGGCACCTCCTAGGGAAATACAGACTTTGGGACAGACACTGCCCACATCCATCTAAAATGGCCCATCTGTGGCAACGAATCATTTGGATGCAACAGGTTGCCCCAACTCACTGAGCAGGGGCCTTCCCGGTGCCACTCTCTACGCAGGAAGCAGAGCGGAGGGAGGAAGCTCACCAGGACCCCAGGTGCCCCCAAAAGACTCCACATTAAGTCACTAACGAGTCTGAGACAAAACTTCTGTTGTAAATCAGATCCCTCGTGTCACTCTAACATATGTACTGTTTCTTTTTCTTAATTTTTATGTTTCAATGACGGTTTATTTTCATATTACTTTGTACTGGCTTCAGGTGTACAGCATAGTGGTTAGACAACCATATGCTTTACGAAAATAAGGTATGTTCTTGAATTGATACGAAGTCTCCCAATTCTTCTTCCACAAATTAACTTCATCTAAATAGTACAACACAAGTGAAATGCACAGGACACTTCATTACTACACAGGGTCTCTGTTTCTTATGCATTTTTTGTTTCCTCTGGGAAAATATTTTTTATAAATTTAGGACTTTTCCTGATAAATCCTGATTTTCAAGTACATGCTAACTCAACAGAACACAGAGCTGTTTATCCTACTTTGCTCACTGATGATCACAGGACATAAGTGAGACAGCTATTTAACAAACATGTTATCAATTCAATAATAATGGCCCCATACTACGCTGAATGATGTATAAAATATATGAATTACAAATATAAAAACAGAGGTACAGAATATCCCTTACACACAATAAACAGAAGCCTGTATTAATTTTTGCGAGGGGAATGACAATATGGTGACTGTCTAGATTAGAAACACAATCAAAGATCTCCAGCCAAGTTTTCATAATATTGTGTCAGTGCAGTGAGAACATGCTTTTTAGTTGACAGATATCTAAGTCATCACTTTCTTTCCAAAGAAACATCTGTACTGTTTTTAGACCGTGAGCAGCGAGGAAAGATAGTCCCACGAACTCACAGCCCAGCCACACAAGACTCAGTAGACATAAGGCTGAGACGGTTATTCAGAAAGGAGAGAGGCCACGTGCATGTACATGGATTAGATTTGAAACCAAAAAGGTCGGCCTCGTTACTTCGATTTGTTTTCATGATGAATTCTGCCTTATTTCATTTTCACGCAGCATCATGTGAGTTTCCTGTTTCACAAGTGGAACCACAGACTAAGGAACGGATTTGACACAAATTTGTTTTTTCTCCTCATTAGTTGAGACCGCTTATCTGGAGTCTCTTCTGCCCAGAATCTTGGGCTTTCAGGAAAGGATGCAAAGAGCCCTCCATTCAAGCCAGTGTTTAAATTTCTTTAACCCTCATCAAGAGTCCTACTGACTCAAAGCTATCTGCCTCTGAATAGACTTAACTAGTTCTTCCCTGTGCACAGCGGACTCCTTGCAGCAAGCTTGTGGAGAAAAGGAGAATAGAAAGGAAGCATTAAGGCAACAGAAGGAACCGCTGAGCAGCGACCAGGGGAGACAGAGAGCCATCCGAGAGGCGGGCACAGCCGCCTGCAATATCTCAGAGTCACGGAGGGAGGAAGGTTTGCCTAAAGCATCAAAAGGCAAGTAAATCACAACTTTGTTTCATAAAACGGGGACATAGGATGGAACGGCTTATGCAAAGTGTTGTCACTGGAAGGCAGTCAGATTTGACCCAAGAAAATACAGTTTGGCCCTGGCCGGTGTGGCTCAGTTGGTTGAGCCATGTCCCGGGCACTGAAAGGTCGCTGGTTGATTCCCAGTCAGGGCACATGCCCAGGTTTTGGGTTCGGTACCCAGAATGGGTGTGTGGGAAGCAACCAATTGATGTTTCTCTCACATCCATGTTTCCCTCTCTCTCTCTCTCTGTCTCTCATTCCCTCCCTTATCCCTCCCTCTCTCTCTCCCTTCTTTTCTTGCTAAAATCAATAAAGACATATTTTTTAAAAAAGAAAATAGAATGCAGTTTAATGAACACACGTTGCATCATGCTGAAGAACAGGATGACGTATTAAACATACCGTTTTCTAAGAGACTTTCACCAGTTTGTATTCGGGGTAGGACGTAGGCACTAAAACACTTTTGATTTCTGTTTTTGGCTTCATTTATGCAAACCAACCACGTGTTCAGGTTCCATGACAATATATATTAAATCGCCTTTGCAATATAATAGGCCAGCTCACAAAGGTACGCCCAAGTCAGAAACAGACAAAGCCCCTCAAACCCAGACCTTGCTTCCGTCTGCCTGTTCATCCTGTGGCCTGGGCCACGGCGGTCGGATGACACAGAGGAGGGGCTCCGAGGCACAGAGCCCACGTGTCCTCTTGTGGCTGTTTAGATGTGATCTCTGAATCCTCCTCACACTGTGCGACACCTGTTACACTGTCACCATCTTGTTCAGACGTGGAAACGTGGGACGTAAAAGGGTGAGGGACCGCTCAAGGCAACAGAACGGGTCAGTGGCAGAGGAGAATGTTTCCCAACTCAAACCCCTTCCCGGGAATTCTCCCACGTGACTCGAGAGCTGCCAGCTGTTTTATCTTAAAACTGTTGTTGAGGACCGTGAGGTTCTGTGACGTGTACGTGCTGAGGACCATGAGGTTCTGTGACGTGTACGTGCCGAGGTCCTATAGATCCCTCTGAAAGGCTGTGGAGAGTAGGACCATGTTCTCTTCCCCTCCCCCCAGACCATGCGAGCATGACCGGGATGTGCGCAGATGAGCGGGAGCTATGGAAAAGGATCGCTTAAACGGTTGCTTTTATTTTATTTCAACGGCAGCATCATTAGGCCAAGTCACTCCATTATTCATCCCTATGTGATTTAAGAGAAATAATTCTAAATGAAATCACACTGTTGTTAGAATATGGATATTTCCCCTGAATATAAGATGTAACATTCAGGTCAATCCCCAAGCCAAACAATGATTATCCCTCTTATTTATTTTTTTTTTAGCTTGATCAAAACCCAAGTTTCTTAAACAGGTATAACTGCTGTAACAAAATCTGCACGTGTGTGTGCGAGGCCAGTGTATGTTGATGCAAACAAGATGATGCTGGACAATGTATTGTCCCTCTTTTAAAGACGAGGAAACCCAGGCTCGGAGAAATTAACTTGCTCAAATTACGTAAGTAATTAAAATAGTAATACTACAGTTAGTAGTGGTGAAACTGACTGAATCTAAAAATCAATGCTTTATCTTTTAGTAGCAAATATTGTCCCTCAGCGATTGCAATACCCTGTAGAACATGTAAAAGGGACAAAAGAATCCATAATCCTGGGGGGGGCGGGGGGGTGATGAGAAAGAGTCTGCTGTTCTGCTATAGCAAACCCATCACCCAGGACTGACATTTACCTTTAAAACACAAGCTACAATGCAGATTCCACAGAGGAGGACAGTGAGCAGAAGGCTGCTCTATTCCTTCCCTGTATTTTGAAGAACCAGCATAGCGTTTAGTATTCCACTCATTTACATGCGATTATGTACACCTAAGACTCAGTAAAGACCCTCCTCAATATTCATTTTCTCTAAAGCAAACTATGAAAGGAGTTTCAAACATGGCACAGGCTACTTAATATATTAATATTATAAAATGACAAATCTGTTCCTAAAGAATACACAGGGTCGCATAATCCTGAATTTGAAGGATTCTGCGGACACATTTCCACGGGGCAAAGAAAATTCCCTATTTTTAAACTTAGATGACGAGCTAATCATTGAACCAGATAACCCAGGAAAGGGCGGGGGAAGCCTGAGGGAAATTAGCAGAAGAATTGGTCAAAGGGGGAAAAAGACAAGAACAAACATAAAACAAGAGAAAGGAGAAATAAATGCAGAGAAGAGGAAGACTTTAGATGTATAGGCTGTATGCTAACAATCTTCTTGCTAAAAATCTGGACATTTCACCAATACAGTAGGCTTTCGAGAACACGTGTTAAAGAGAAAGAGAAAAACAGAACAGATCAATGATCGGTGATGGCAGACAAATAAGACAACTGCCCCAGAACCATCCTTCAAAGGGTACCAGGCTCAGAAAGATTTGCTTGCAAGTTCTAGAAAATGCCAAAAAAAGTTTAATTCCTTTATCAATTCAGTCTTTAATAACAAACTACATGACAAAATGCACATAATTCTTATAGATCCATATTAAGATATCTGCTAATATAACTTGTCATCTTGTTATTCAAAGCAGAAAGCATATAGGATCTCTCAATAAACGCCAAACAAGAAGTTGATAAAAATTTAATACTCAAAAAAAAAAGCGCTTGGTAAATGAGGACAGGAACACTTCCTTTTCTGAAAGAAAGCAATTGCAAGCACGCTCCCTAATTTTGAGAAGAGGGATAAAGCTGCCAACATTCACATCTATTATTAAAAATTATTCTGGATGTTCTAGCCAGAACAGAAGGAGAAAAAAATACAAATATGGGTAGTGTAAAGGAAAAGCAAACATATAAATTTTAAATAATATTATCTATCTGAGAAATCAAGCATATTAACTGTACTCTTAATGCAAATAAATGTAGATTAAAATTTAATGATTGGGAAAATATTACCATACTGATATGCATTTTAAAGAAAGCTCCGTGGAAATATTACGACTAATTCTCCAGTACTGATGGGAATCAGAGCTTAATTATAGACTTGGTTTTACCACCAAACAGCACGTCCTTGGGAAACACTATTGAACTTCACCCAGCACATTTCTTCAAGTATAAAATGTCCTGATAGTTCTGTCTCTACAAAGACTGACATTTCGAGTCAATTCAATTACGTGTACGAAAATACTGGACATTCGGTGTACTGGCTGCGTGACCCAATTCAAATCTCCACCCAGAACACACTGATCCCTCCCATTCGTGGGCCTTATTTATACAGTTTTTCTTTTTATAAATGAAATTATATTGGAAATTCACTACAAACTGCCCCAAGGAAAAAAATTCAATTTTAAAAAGCACACATGAAAACCAATGCTTTATTTTTTAATTTCAATTTTTCTATATTGTATTTCCAATATTGTGTTTCCAATACTCTATAGTGGGGTATCGCCAAACTCCACTTGGCGAGAAAAAGAGAAATACCTCTTGGCCACAAGAGGGAGCTAAACATTTGGTTCCCTTGATTTATTGAAGGCCTCTTCACCTTTCCTATGCGACAGAAGACTTCCCTGTCTCCAACTTGGGACTTGATTTGTGGCATCATTTCTATCCCTTGAAATAAAGTCCTGCACTGCTCTTGGCTGCCTCAGATGAGAAGCACAATAATTACAATATTTACAACCAACAGTGGGGCTTTTATTTTCCTAACATGCTTAGCAAACACTGAGCATCCAAAACATTCTATATCCGTGTAAATAAGGGCTGATTGCAAAATCATCTACAAAAAAAAATATTTTTTCTTTATAAATATATCTTCTCTTGTTCTTCCACTAAAATCTTCCCAGAATACTTTTTATACTACTCTTAAGAAACGGGCTTATCTTTAATAATAAGTAACCCCCCCCACACACACCTTGTAAAAATTGTACAACAGATAAAATACTATGCTCAAAACACGAAGATCATACCAAACAAAAGGTAATAAATAAAGTATCTCCTGTTCTCAGAAAGGAGTTTATGATTTACAACATTTTAAAAGGTGACTTTGATCTTACAAGATTAAAAGTCAAAATGCATACTGCAAACCACCACAGAAAACACACAGCTTAAATGCTAAGGAAATGAGTTTTACAACATCCTCACACACATTATAAACTAATTATTTTTTAAAACACTCCAAGTACACATAATCAAAGTCACTTATATCAATCTGGTCTTTTTATGCTGAAAAATGGGATCCCAGTCACACAGAGTCTGTGAATAAAATGGCTAGGTTTGAAAAGGAACTGGAATTTTGTTTCCAATTTATGACCCTGACAGATCACCACAGTGACTTTGTTAAGCATCTGACTGTACTCAGTAAGAATCCTGGAGTGAGATACACACAGGGTGGGGCAAAAGCAGGTGTACAGTTCTGAGTATGCGAAACACGGAGTTTATGCTTGTATTCTTATTTACTAACTATTGCATTATTTTCTATACGAACAACTGTACACCTACTTTTGCCCCACGCTGTATACGTGAAACACAGGCAGTTACAATTGGCTATTCTTTGCGTTAGATTCTTGCATTACACCCTTTTCACTGGGGTAAACGAATCCAGTCATGTGATCTACACCAAGTCAACAGTGCTTGCTTCGGCTCCTGTTCAAGGTAACAGTCTGGGTACCATTCGTGAGAAGCACCTTGTTGACATCTCCAAGTTATCGTGCCGTGAATGTCAGCGCCTGCACCTCGGCTCTGCTGAGCTTACAGGGAGCCTAGAGGATCGGCTGCCCTACAAGAAAGATGCTCGTTTGCTTTATGGAAAAGTGGGTCTGCAGGGCTCTGACAACCTGTCTCCGGGGACGAGCATGTGCGGGCCTGGTCACGTGTTTCAGGACACAGTGAGGGCAGCTATGCCTATGGAAGATGCCTACTGAGGGCACCCGGGCTCTGGATTATTGGGTTCAAACCCCAGTTCTTCCTTCACTACCAGGGCATCGCTCACCTGCAAAAGGGGGAAATGATGGGAAAAATCGCGTAGGAGTGCTGGGAGGACTGTTTATGTATCTACTCGGAGAGATGAAGAAAGGTTTATTATTTTTAGCTACTACTATTATTTTAGCTGTTACATTTTTGCCCATTATTTTTACATTATGAAAAGTCAAATGATGTTCCAAAACCAACAACTAAACCAGATCTTAAAATGTTTAATTGCAAGGAGGTAAATATTGAGGCTGATGCTATCACAGGGCCCAGTGCCCTCCTTCTCATGGGGAAACTATCTGGACCCCAAACTGCATCCCAGGATAGGACGGCACCTCGCAGGCATCAGCGGGCTTCTTCTGTCTTTAAGTCGCCCCTGCCAACGCTTCCCCCCTAAGTACAGTGATATACATTTTACGTCTCCGGGAGAAAGAAATACACAAAGAAATCATGACATAAGCATTTGTGATAAGAATTAAAAGAAGAAAATCCTACCTGGGTAGTCTTCAGATACGTGTACTGAATAGGATACACTGTTAAAACAGAAGAAAAGAGAAACAAGGTCAAGTTACTGCTATGGAAGAAATGCTTCCCTATATAATAAAAGCCTAATATGCTGAGTGTCCGGTCATCTGGGCGTCCGTTCAACCAATCAAAGTGTAATATGCTAATGATATGCTAAGGCCGCTCAACCACTTGCTATGACATGTACTGACCACCAGGGGACAGACAGTCGACCAGGTGTTATGACGTGCACTGACCACCAGGGGGCAGACGCTCCAACTGGTAGGTTAGCTTGCTGCTGGGGTCTGGCTGATAAGGACTGAGCAAGACGGGCCGGACACGCCCTGGAGCCCTCCTGCGGTCCCTACCTGGCTGACCCTTCCCGGGCCTGATCGTGCACCGGTGGGGTCCTTTGGCCTGGTCTGTGCCCTCTCACAATCCAGGCTGTGACACCCCCACCCCCGCCGCCGCCAAGTGCACAAATTCTGTGTACCGGGCCTCTAGTTACAAAATAAAAACCAAACCCACACACCCATTCATTTACATAGATACAAGTCTATACGGTAACATGCAAAACAGACCAGAAATCCCCACATTAAATCGCTCGATTCATCAGGAAGCACATCTTGGTAACTTGGTGAGTCAGACACGAGTTAAGGCCAAACAGGACTTAAGTAGAAAAAAATCAGGAAAACGACTTTGAATGATTGCTTCAGAGGAAACAGACTATGAAACAGGATGACTATGGTAGACAAAGGAAAGACGGTATCTTTTAAAAAAAAAATTTATTTTAAAATAGGTTCACACGAAGTTGCAGGTAATACAGGGAGGTCGCACGTTCCTTCCACCCAGTCCCCGCGCTGATCACACCCACGGACCCACAGGACAACATCGAAGGCAGGAGCAGGTGACAGCTCCGCGTCCTTCTAGCACGTCTGCGTCCTACACCCCCACCGCCAATCAAGACGCAGACCATCCGACCCAACATTTCCCTCGTCTGCTCACCCCAGTCCCTGCACCCCACATCCTCCCAGCCGATGCTCGTCTCTGTAACTCTGCGATTCCAAGGAGATTCTATAAATGGAACCCGGAGGACGAAGCATGACAATATTTTAAGATTTGGGTTTTTGGAAAAATGACTGAGCCTGGACTATTTAGAACACACTGGAGAACGACCGGAGGAGGAGGTGGTGCAGTAAAACATGAGCACTGTCCGCGGGGAGGTCTGTGAGGGGGAGGAGGAGGCAACACCAAAAGGCAGACATTGCCCACGCCCCTCCCCTCTCCCCCTAACCCCCCTCCCCAGCCTCCCTTTTCCTCCTCCCTCCCCCCTAACCCCCCCCCCCCCTCCGCCCAGGGCCCAGCGCAGGGCGTCCTGGCCCGAATCCAACGCCAAGAATCACAGGAGAACACAACCATGTCACTGCAGCCTCAGACAGGCTGGCCCCATAGGAGTCTTTTTCCCATGATTCCGTCCCTCGCGCAGGGGACTGGACTGTGCAGAACGAAGTCATGATGAAGGCAGCCCTCACGCATCTGAGTGACAGGAGCTGGGCCCCTGCCAGGCCACATGCAGCACCAGTGAGTCAGTGCCCAGCAGCCCAGCCTCCCAACCACCAGCAGCCGCTTCCTTTTTCCCCAAGTCCCTGTCTCCATCCCGGTGGCAGCCTCACTGCGCTCCCAGGTCCACCCCTCCAATGGGGGAGCCGCTGCGGTGGGAGCCACGGCCGCAGGGGTCCGGTGCCAGCCCCGGCCTCACTAGCCCGGCAGCCTGGGGAAGTGACCTCTGCTCAACCTCCTTCAGTAAAACAGCAGGATCCAGACCCGCCTCCCAGGCCTGCTGCGAGGACTGAACGGCCTAACAGGTGTCGGGCCGCAGGACAACGCTATACACACGGGCACAGGTGCCAGACACACGGCGCAGATGCCGGGCACACGGGCACAGGTGCCAGACACACGGCGCAGATGCCGGGCACACGGGCACAGGTGCCAGACACACGATGGAGATGCCGGACACACGGGCGCAGATGCCGGGCTCACGGGCGCCGGGCACACGGACGCAGGTGCCGAGTCCTAGTGGCTCCCAGGACCCGCGTGAGAACGTGCAGGAGAGAAGTTCCGCGTGAACGAGGGCGCCCGGGGAGCCCAATGGTCTCAGGATCACAATGTCCAGGTCACATGTATCACAGGCCGAAGCCCGCCCTGATGACCTCATTCACGGCTGTGCCACCCGAGGGAGGGACCGCACGCATTTCCCAAGCGCAGCGCAGAGGCGGAAGCCCCAGGAAGGAACTAGCAGCTGCCGAACCGCAGGGAAGCCAGCTCACTCCGGGCCAGGCTCTCGGGGAGCCATGCGCGGTGCAGACATGGCCGATGAGGCCAGAGGACCTGGTCGGTGGGGCAGACGCGGCGCGGAATGCCTGTTTGTTGCGGCTGAAGACGCGCAGGCCTCCCCCGGACACAATGCTGTGAGGACGCGTCTCAGCTCTGCGTCCACTTGCAAGACGACAGCTCAGACCAGAGGATGAGGGACCCAGGCCGCTCCCAGACCACGTGGGCTTCCTGGGACAGAACCCCCTCAGCACACAGCATCCCCTGCCCCTCCTGGTCCCACGGCAGGAAAGAGACGCCGGGCGCCCACCTCCAAACCAGGCCTGCGTCTCCTGCGGGAGGGGGTGTGGGGCGGCTGGACCTCAGATTTGCTGTTTCACTGCCATGCGCTTCCCAGACACGCATCATCCCTCATGATCACTTTTACCTTCCACATGCCTTCTCAACAGCCAGGTCAGCGACTACAGTGCCCTCCTCCTTCACTGCTATTAGCCACCAAGCACCTGTCTCTCATGCAGAGGGAGGGATTTCCAGGGCCCACGGGGGACACGAGGTCTCAACACCAGCTACTCACAGCTCGGCTCACTGGCCCCAGCACCCACCCCTCATGGATTTCTTTGCTTTTTCTTCTCAATTGTTTTCTCAAACCCTCATACCTTTCCAACACCACATACCATGCCCGGGTAAAGTAGATGATCACACGGTTCCTCCCCCAGGCATCCCCAAAGTCTGCTCCCACCCTCCCACCCTTCACCCCCACCCCATCCCCCAACTACAGGCTCACACTTCTCTCAGGCACCAGAGAGAAGGAAATGTCTGTCCCTTCGTGAAAGACTAA